GCAACTTGGAACGTTACAAATGTTACCATCATAAATACCTGATCCTATCATGTATCTATCTTGATGCGGACCACTTGATGGCCTCCTTGTAGCCATCATAGGATAACTAGTATATTCTCTATCCCTATAATGATCCGATCTTTTGTTATTCCAATCTTTTCTACCATCGTCTCTGTCTCGTTCTCGCCAATCTCTAAAATAATTATTATTATTATTATAACCCCAGTTCCTATCACGTATATCTGACCTATCTCCACTAAGCCTCGCGTAATCTCGCGTTTTTGGTTCCATTGTAATCCCACTTCCGGAATTATTTCCTATTACATTATTATCTAAAGCCGGATCACGTTCATTGGATATATTTGCACTTTGTCCATCTGGGTTCGCCGGATCATAGGGAGAAGATAATGGTGATGACATCATTGAAGATTGTGCACCTTGCCTCGGTGTAGCTGATAAGGAGGCGGAAGAGTTATAATATCCGCCATGATAACGGCGATCTCCTGGGGACATAGATATGCTCCTATATGGCATGCGATTTCCTCTACCACCACTAAAACGAGGTGCTCGTGGTGGGGACATAGTTCGAGGACTTGTCTGTATAGAATTATCACCCAAGGGCAAATTATTAAACGAAGGATTATAATTACCAGAAGATTTAGCAGGTGAATAATCTTTATAAGAAGGTGAGTGTCTTCCTCTTATTTCTTCGTATGAACCATCTGAATGACTAGAATTGGTATGACGTCCGTATTCGATATCTTTTGAAGTATCCAAAGTGGCAGTAGGAAAATCAAATGGTAAATCAACCTCGGGAAAATATCCATCATTTATCATAGAAGACTGACTAGCGGTATTATTATCATCTATTGCCATATTAAAAATTTTAGGCGATTTCGGTGACACATTAACGGTTAAATTCATAACTTCCTCGGATTTGGTTTGCTCATTCATCGGTTTGTTTTCAATTACATTTGACTTCTGTTTAGGTTCTTCAATAGTATTACTAGGTACTTGTTCTATGGATTTTTTCAGGATATCCACACTATTATCGTTAGAAGATTCTGCTAACTTATTCTTGTCTTGGCATGGAAGTTTTGTTTTAACTGGAACTTTCACACCTTCTTTTGTAGAGCATGTGTCATTATTGTCAATAAGTTTATTATCGTTATTTTCATTTTCTGTTGCGGATGATACTGATGGTTTTGAATCTGCTGTAGTGGACTTTTTCTCACATGATTCTTTGTTTAATGAAGCTGTGATGGCTATTTGACTACGATATTCATCAAGAGTTACTTTTTTAGGCATAGAAGTTGAGGATTTCGAACCTTCATTATTATTAGAGGTTGAAGAATCCATTACTTGCTTTTTCAAATCTCCGGGGGCAATAATGGTTGTACTTTCAACGTTATCACTATTATCCAAAATTATCGTCATAATATCTTGTGAACTTTTGACGCTTTGTTCCTTTTCGTCTCTTCCTTTTCCTTTAGTTGGTTGGAATTCTTCAATCTTTTGACGTTTTCCTTTTACATCAGAACCACTCTCAATATACAGGTTTGTCCCATTTTGATTAATCGGGGTGGGACTAGGACTAACTGCCATTCGTTTTGCTGGTATAATGGGTGTTGATAATGGTACTAATCCTTCATCTTGGTCAATCTCATCTTTATCCGTAAATAGATCCATTTCGATTTCGTTAGAATGATTTTTAGATCCATTGGATTTACTATTCTCTAGCTCTACACATTCAGAAGTAGTTTCTACATTAGACTCATGAATGGTAGGCAAAGATGTATTATTATAATTTCCTGCTAATGCAGAAGTTGATGCTGTTTCGACAGCCTTTTTCCATTCATGCATTTGAATAAGATAGTCCTTGAAAGGTATTCCGCTTATCGCAGGTGGAAGTGGCCGCGGAAGGATGGTTTTTGATTGTGATATGTCACATATACCTGTAGTTTCTATAGAATTTTCTATTTTATTTGATGAAATTAATAAGCCATCAAAAAGTTGAAATGTGTTAAAGATGATAAATAATATTATATGTAGCTCTTTTTATGAAAGATGTTGATTTGATTGACGCGAACCTGGTAATTGATCCTCATTACTACTATCCTTAGTTGGTTCATTAGAATTATTCGTGTCTAAATTATTTCGATCAGGAGGATTTACTTGTATGATAGATACATTTAGATCATCATCGATAGACATTTCGGAATTAGTTAATGATGATGATAAAGATGAATCTGAATGTTGTTCCTCATCATCACTGTGTTGCAATCTCCGTTTTGAAATGCCAGTTTTAGACATCGATGATGAACGGGAATGTTTGTTGCCCGTGGATTTTTCCGTTTTTCGAGAACTTAGAGATTTTCGTTTGATGTTTCCGGATGGCTCTTCCCGAATTCGATTAACCGATTTTCCTTTACTTTTTTGACTAGATTGAGCAATATTATCGGACTTTGCAATCGTATCTATTTCTTTCGACTTTTTTTTCTCCTTGCGTATTATTTGGCCGGATACTTCATTTTCTTCTAATGAGTTTTTATTATTTCCATTGAGTGATAATTCATTTAGTTTTTCAACACTTGGCTTGGCTTTACGATTAGCCTTACGCATCAAACCAACATTATCCCGTTTTTTCTGTGCATTCCCAGATGCAACTAGTATATCCGTATCTTCTTCATAATCATCATCATTTACTGGTGACGATTCTTTTTCTCCTTCGTTTAACATCTCCTCAACATTCATTGCTATCTTCTTTTTTCTAGATTTACTTAATATTTTTCCTTCACTTTGCATTTTATAAATGATGCAATCGTCCTTGTTTTCACATGCACATTCTGTTAACCGTAAAATCGCTGTTGCGATTTTCCCAATTTCATCTCTTTTATTCGCGATAATATTCTCATAATCCTCATTTTCAAAATTTGAATCTTGCATCAGGATGTCAACAATATGATTTGATTCCCAGTCCCAGCCAATTGTAATTTCCCTTCCTTTTAAAATTTCGGATTTAGCAAAAATTCCCAAATGTACTTGTTGATCGTCACCACCCGGTACTACTATGGTTCGAGATTCGGAATTAGGGTGACACGACCGACGAATGAATCTCGCTTCGGTGCCAAATCGACGAGCGTCAACACAGAGGTTCAATACAGGATAGAATAGAACAAACGGCTGCGTAACACCCAATAAGGAATATTGATTGCTTTCATAAGCTTTATAATCTGATTTGAAGCAGACTTCACCTTTGAACTCAACGATAAAACGCCCGGTAGAAATATTTGTCTCTGCAAATAATCCGTAACAATTTAAATGCTTTTTTAGCATTTTCGACCGGGATTGGCTAATCTGTTTAACAATAGTTTTCATTAGTGGTCGAGCTAAAGATTCCTTTTCCATCCTGCATGGATTGCCAATTTCCAAACTAGGCGACATCGATCGAACAGATGACGATTCCTGATTATCATCGCGAATATTTTCATTGTCTATCTTCGAAGAGGATGAAAGTGACATGGATCTTTTTCTGTGTTGAGCTTGATATTGTGAATAAATTTTGGGGAAAAGTTCTTCCACTGCTTTCGATGCGATGACATTTTTATCTATGGTTTCATAATCCTTGGAATAAGAACTTGATTGGCGGTCCTTCGCAATGAATGGTGGATCGGACTTATTACGTGATTTTGTATTAGGTATGCCTGTGGTGCTTGACTCGTCCATTTGTGAAGCAGAAAGAGGATATATTCCCGATTCACTTTCGCGGCGACCTTTCTGATACTTTCTGGATTTTTTACCGTCCTTTAGTAATTTTTCTACTTTTCTATTAGAACAAATATGGCACTTGTAATCCTCAACTTTAGGATCAACTCTCATACACCCAACATGTTGCCAAGTAAAGCAATAATCGCATTGAATGGTATATCCATCATCGTCAGAATTATCACAAATACATTTTATTTCTTCCGTGTCCTCTAGATTATCAAGTATTTCTGGATCCTCGCTATCTATCCCTCTTTCGCTTGTCATCTATGAAATCATAATACAAAGAGTGCCATATATATTAATTTCATTTCATTTGAAGTTTATAATAATTATGATAAAATCATCATATATACTTTTTAAGTTTGACCGTACTTTCGAGTTAAAAGTTTTCAGTAAGGAATAAATAAACTATTTTTAATTCTCTCGTGTAATAATAAAACGGGTTTGCAAGTAATTTCAAAAAACCTGCGAGTTGAAGAAGCAGAAAAACGTGAAGTTAGATTTTCAAGTTATAATAATTTCTTGATATTAGATTATTTAATGGCTTAACAAGTATAAGTTTAACAGTATTTGCCGCCTCACAAATCCTTGAATCTATATTTTTCTTTATTATAGTTATGATAAGCAAATCATTGCTCGATTGTAAAAACTTATTTTTTTTTTTCTTTTTTAATAGTAAATAATACTCTTACAAAATAAATGACATCTTTGTTAGACAAACACTGAAAAATCGACCACATGGTTTAGTAATCAATAGATCTAAATTATTAAAGTTACAAAAAGCGTAATTACCTATTGACAGTAAAGGACAGAGCCGTGAAAAATTTACAAATAAAATAAAAATAAAAATAAAAATATAGATTGGTCGTTCTATAGATCTGAATGGCGAAGGTTTAAATTATATAATCTTTTTTAAATCAAACGTTGTGATTTTCATTATCACATATAAATGTACAAAATACTGCGCTTTACTAAAATTATATTTTTTTTTGAAATACACAAAATGAATGAAAATAAATAAATTTTTTTTTTTTTTTTTTTTTTTTTTTTTTTTTTATTTAATAAAATAATAAAATAAGGATGATTATACATTTAATATTAATATCTTATTCTTTTATGCTAATCAGCCATAGATAAATTATATATAGTTAATTCAGTTAAAAGTTTAATTGCTAATATCCTGGTTACTTTTATATAACAGCATCCTATTTAAGTAATAAATTATTTAAATTTTATGATGATTTTCCGTACATTCGATCTATTTCTGCTTTATATTTGTCTTGGAGATCTTTACGTTTAATTTTCTGAGCAGCAGTTAAAAGACCCTGCGGAAAAAAAAAAAATTATCAAACATTAGTATACCAATGAAAAATCATTTAATAAATTAAATATTCTTACATTTTGAGCAGTCCATTCATCGGGTACTAATGCAATAGCAGATAATAATTCTGCAGGTTTAAAGTCTGATTTTTTTGCTAGTGCAAGGCAAGCTTGAAGAACGGCAGAATTTATATCTTTATGTGCACACAATTGTTCAAAATCCAAATTACCCAAATTCTTTTCCTTTGCAACTTCACGAAGACGATCTTCAACAGGACATATTAAAGCAACTGGGCGAGATTGAAATGAATCTGCACAAACACAGATATTGGACACGTAAACTGTTGATTTATAGACAGATTCAAGTTTTTCAAGAGCGATATATTCACCATGAGAAAGCTTTACTAAATTTTTCTTGCGGTCAATAATCGCTAAAGTACCATTTTGACGCCATTCTCCAATGTCACCAGTCTGAAGCCAACCATCATCAGTTATTGTTTCTTTAGTTAGACTTTCATTTTTATAATAACCTTTAGCGATAACAGGTCCACGAACCCAAATTTCACCTTGAGGATTTGGAGTATTTGTGGATTTGTAGCCTGCTTCTGATACATCAACTAATTTAATTTCCAAACAAGGCACTGGCGAACCTACACTTCCGTATTCAAACTGATCAGGGGGCATAACTGCGCACATACTAAACGTGTAATGAAATGAATGTATTAATTATTAAATAAAAAATTTTCCGGAACTGCTTGCTATGCTACTTACCCACAAGACTCGGTCATGCCATAACCCTGCAAAATTGGGCACAAAGTGATGGACAGAAATTCTTGTGTTTCTTTAGAAATTGGAGCACCACCAGATAAAGCATATCTTAATCTACCACCAGTTTGTTGTCTAATTTTATTGAATACTGCAATATCCAAAGGTTTGGTTGGTAAACCTTTGTTCATTAACCAACCTTTTGCCTTAAATGCGGCATTAAAAACCCTTTGTATCGTTGGACTTCCGGCATTAACCTTTGATAGAACTCCTTTTCTAATAGATTCCCACACAGCTGGTACACCTGTCATTAGGGACGGTTTCATTTCACGTATATCTCCAAGACAGTTACGCACTGACGCGTCAGTTAATGTACGTACGGTACCATAACCCAATGACACACCCCAGAATAGGCACACATGTTCCACGGTAAATTCAAGAACGTGCGCAAGGGGAAGATAAGCGAGCAAAGTGTCATCAGGTAGAATAATAGTTTGAAGCAGTTTATTAATACCAGCAACTGTAAGATAGAAAATTTTAGTGATATGTTATATAAATTTACGAATACCATATCAATCATACGAATGTTTACTTACTTGCAGCTACTAAGTTTGAATGGGTTAATAAAACACCTTTTGGGTTTCCCGTACTTCCAGAAGTGTACATAATACAACAAAAGTCATCTGGTGATGGAGGATTTGAATCTAATGGATTATCTTTACCCAATTGCTTTAATTCATCTAACGTGTAAAGTTTGAGTTTAGGATATTCATCCTTTAGCTCATCCAAAATCTTTCCATTGGCTTCACCGTCATAGATCACATGCTCAAGTTTAAGACACTTTCCTGCAACCTTTTTTATCATGGGAAGTAAATCAGCATTGGTATACAAGGCCTGAACCTCAGTCTCATTCATTGAGTGGATTAGTCCTTCTTCACCAAGAGTATCATACGCAGTAACAATGGTCATCGCCTGGGTGAAACAGCCTAATGAATAGGTAAAATCGATCATAATACAAAATTAGTCGGAGAAATGAAGAAAAGAATTTTCATCAAAAAATATTACCATGCGTTACGAGTAACCAATTAGCGCTAAGAAAATTTAAATAATTTTAGGAATTATGTAAAAATTATAAATTATACGCGTGGATGCATTAAGAAAAAGATTTATGTGTACCTAGTTGCAGCGAAAATTGTTATCTTGGCATTTTTTTCAAGGCCCAATTTTACTAATCCAGCACCAATTTGTGAAGCTACCTTTGCAGCTTCCTCGTAACTTAACCAATTATAACCAGATAGCTGGAAATATTTCCATTTTTTAACTTCTTTTTTTTCTTCTCCGTTTACTATCTTAATAACTTCTTTTTCTTCTTCAATAATATTTTCCAGTTTTCTAGTTCCAAATGCATTTTTGGTTCCGTGAGTCTTGACGCCGTACTGAAAGACGTCGTAAAGGGTATAAACACCTTCAACAGGAGTTTTCAAAAGTTCATTAGGAGAAAGAATAGAACGACGACTACGAGTTTCTCCTTCAGTTTCAGGGCCAAATGGAATGCTGTATTGTTTCTCCATTATTCCAAATTTTCAAGTAGAGAAATTTGTTCAACGAATTGTGTAAATTTTTATAGCGTATGCAGGCATCGGATTATTAAATACGCCACGTGAAATTAATATTATGTGAAACTCTTGTCACGCATTTGTCATGATATATTTCGTTTGTATATGCAGGTACAATAGGCAAAGTTTTTTTAAATATTTTTGAACAGTTATATAATTCCATTTTGGTACAAATACTTTTACAAAGATGATAAACAAGAAAATCAAGTATCTTGAAATGGTTAATGTTAATCTATTTGTTATTGGTGCATTTAAAAGTATGCCAGATAACAGTAAACTAAGAAAGAAAAATGTCGAATTTTTCAAGGGTAAAGTCGCAAGAATTTATTTGTCTCAAGTTTGTATTTCGGAAAATGAATAATATTTCGTCACAAGCTTCTATATTTACTGAGAAAAATCTAACCAGAATATAAACAATAAATGATTACACAACAAACTTTTTCCGATGATTTTATTATTAGACAAATAAAAGAATAGTAAAGCCCCACGGTTCGTACAATGACAAAATAAAAAATATGCTACTCTTGAAAGAATTCCAATATGATTTAAACCCAAATCATCCTTTTCAAAAATTTTTACCAAATCACAATAAATTGGACATTTGCAATACTACTTTTTAATAATTAAACTAAAATACTATGTAATTATGAACAATGATAAGAAATATGAAAAAGGGGAATACTGCCGTATACCAAAATATAATTTAGGTTAAAGTATTTTCAGATTTATTAACTCATTTTTATTCTATTGCATTATTCAGTTATCATAAATTTGAAATTCTAAAATTAGATTATAATTAGCAAAAATATGTTTAAAATAATTAGATAAATTAGGGATTAGAATATTTTAATTGCATTGAATAATAATAAGCAAAATAAATATATCGGACCTTTGCAATAGAAAAGGGGGAAACGGCCGGAAAAATAAATTTTACTTTTATATGCCAAATATGATTTTTAGGTCAAAATATGTTCAGATTTAGCATCAACTCATTTTTTATTTTTCCGGCCGTTTTCCCCTTTTCTATTGCAAAGGTCCCATATATGTTTTAATACTATTTTAAAAGTTTCAGTAAATTAAAGTAACATATTCGTAATTTTAATAATAATTATGTTATTTTTATACTAAATAATGGATTTATTACATTTTATAAAATATATTTATTTAATTTTTAAAGTAACAAAAAGAGTAATAATCAGATTTTTTATTTTAAAATTTAAATAAAAATCAAAAATTTTTAATTTTAATATTTTAGTAATTAATGATTTTTCAATTCTTTTTTATTACTAAATATATAAATAAAGAATATATTTTTAAAATATTTAAAATATATTCAAATTTACTAATAAGTTATAAGCATAATCAAACTATATATTATAAAATAAGTGTAATATTAATAAAATATAAAATATTAATAAATACTTTTTTTATATATAATATAATATTATTAATACAATATTAAATTAGTAAAAAGAATCTTATAAGAATAAATAATATTAATAAAACTTATATAATTATTATTTAATTTATATTTTCTATAATATAGAAATTTTTTAATTAACTAATTTATTTATTAATTTATTTAATAATAGCTATTTTTTTTATTTTTAATTATAAATAAATAAATATATATAATATAAATAAAGAAATTATTATAATTATAATAATTAAAAAGAATTTAAGTTTATTAATTTTTTAAGTGAAATATTAGTTTTAATAAATATTTCAATAATATATAAAAAATTTTTTTTAATATAATTATTTATAAAGTTTTAGCATTATTTTTAATTTCTCTTTTTTTATATAAATTGATGAATAAATATAAAATTTTATAATAGATTTATATTTATATTTAATTAAATAATTGTCAAATTTATCTTTTAAAATATGAGTATAAATTTAGTTGTAAAATATTATAGAAAAAATTATATCTATTAATCATAAAAATGAAATAAAATTTATTAAATTTATTATGTTAAAATATATATTTAATAATAATATTTTTAATTTTTTAAAATTAATAAATTTTAATATTTATTAATTTTCAATTTTTTAAAATAACTTATTATTTAATGATTTTAAAAAACTAAGTATTTAGTTTATTAGATTTATTTTATTAAGATTTATTAACTAATTATATTTTTATATTTCTAAAATCAATAAATAGCAAAATATATAAATTTAAAATCTTAATTTTTTTTATAATACTATTGAAGAGAATAATAAAGATACTTATATAAACTTCTTGATTTTTTTATCAATTCAAAAAAGATAATTATAAAAGGTTATTAATAGATATAGTAATATAAATAATAATAATAATAATAGTAATTTTATAAATATTCAAAATCTTATTAAATGTAAAAGAAATATTCTAAATCAAAGAGAGTTAGAAATACCTTAAAATAGTCTAATAATATTAAGATTTAATATAAATATAAGTTGTATAAACAAAAATATCATAATAATAAAATTTGTATTAATAAAAAAATGAATTATAGAATAAACCTATAAATTTTTTAATAAAATATACATAATATATCTTTATTATCATTTTTCTATTATAACATATAAACAGTAATAATAAGTATAATACAGACCCCCGCCAAAAGTCTCCGAACGCCATCTTTCAGGGGCTATTTCATACCGATTACGTCACGTGACTGTATAATACTTCGGTCATGTGATGTTCGGACCTTTGTTTACTTGAATCAAACCAAATAAATGCGTGTTTGGTTTGTTTA